AGTTGGTTCGTCACACCATTCACGTCTAACTCGAGTAGGCCTCCAATCATTTCGACATAGATCATCTACGTTAGTGATCTACAACATTACCAATACAACTTTTAAACTGGAACTTGGTTTAAACCTTTGTTTGCTATTCGATTCTTAATGAAAGTTCTTGAATACATTTCTGAATCTAATGCTACTTTGTTTTATCTTCTTAATCGTTGCAAGAAACTTGTGATAAGCGAGCCTCTCAGCACCTAGTTCATGTGTTCAAATGGTTGTGGACTGAATAGAAGAAACTTTCGCTTAACAGGCTTCCGTGTCTAGTAGCAGGGGATCACCAATACCTCAAGGCAGAAAACTAGGTATGGTAACAATAAAAGAGGAGAAATAAATTGATAAATCATAGTATGATACTACACTTAGTCCTTAAGAATAAACCCAGTTGCCCCTTAAAGGACTCCTGCGAAGTCGCTTGGACTAGCTCGGCCGGCAGAAAATCCCAGCATTTCACAACTCTTAAGGAGGAGAAGTTGTGCCTACAGTCCGTTTTGCTATGTTGTGTCTCTAGTTTCTGGGTGTTACCCCTTAGGTTAGTGTTGGAACTAAGCTTAATTAGGTGTCTTAGGGGATGTCCAGAAGTGTTAAGGTTATTGTAAGCCATTAGGTCACCTCTAAGACGTCTATACTGTAATGAGTAGAGGTTAAGTGATTTGGTGCATATCCTCGTCATTTCCTTGGGAGACCTACAGACTCGGGTCCTCTCATAGCTTATTCTAACCACCATGGGTTGTCACACCAGCTGATGGATGGACATGCGTTACACATCCTAGCCGTACCTGCGTATTATCTTATAGCTTCTATTTCAAATGCCATATGACAAGCAAGCAATGCCCCTACCCGCACTTATGGAACACTAGTAACTCAAATGCACCCCGTATGGTACTTTACACTGGTTTACGCACTCGCTTAGCTCTTTAGTGAAAATCCCATGAGCCCCCCTACCTCCATCAAAACAAATAAGTCTGTATTTGCAGCATATAGCAATTTTATTATTCAAAAGTAAGATATAACAGTTAGAATTGGAGTAAAATGGCAGTATACAGCAGATGCACGTGGTACATGTCTTTATCGATTAACTGAAATAGAGAATATGGATATTAGATTAATAGCCTTATTTAGAAAGACTAGTGTCTAATTTGAACTTACTGCGTGAGAAAGTTATACTGGAACTACGAATGCTGTAGAAATAGTTTCTCGGGGCGTACGAAGCACCCAGACTGTAAGATAGTTGTTCAAAAATAATTCAAATATGGAGGTGAAAATTTGCAGGTACTTTTCATCATGAGGGTGAACATATTAGGTACCAGTTGACATCATACCGTAAGAAAACGCATATTTGCGAGTGGCGAAATATGATCTATAAAAAAGTGAGCTTAATAACAGTTAATTACCTTTTTACTCCCTGATCATGACCCTTCGGCTACCTTTTATGGCCAAAACAGCAAACATACACTACACACTGGTAGCAGATTTCCGGCGTTTCAATGTTAAGCTTGCTTTAACGCACTGAGTAATGAGTACACCCCCTCTATTACTGTTATATGGCATATTTTTCATAAAAAACCCTCTGCAATAGATTGGTAGCATCTGTGACTTCATCTATAGTTGTCGGAAGTCTGGGTCCTTTCGAAATCAGTACCGATATACCCTACTGCTGGGCACTCTGTATTAGTTTGACTCGTTGGTGGAATAGTGTTGTCCATAATACTAAAGAAAATTACAAAACGCAGATTGTTTCCTTTCATTTTGCCGATAACATCATAAAGGACAGTTAGGAACGAACATGCGAACAGTTCAAGTCACAGGCGGCAGCAACAATTATTTTAGCTAAATAAAAACGAACTTCGGGTTCGGACATCTAGAAAAGAAGGTAAAACATAACCGATTGTCGCTTGAAAACGTAAGGTCTTATGTTAGTACTAGCCAGCTTAGCTGAATAAATACATTAACTTCATTAGCAGCAGATAAAACCCAGAAAACAAAGCAAAATCAGGAAAAACTTTGCTCCAACGTTCAGAGTATTACACTAGCTTTTGAATTTTAGCACACTGAAACATCAAATTCCGTAGCTACACAAAAGAAATAGCTGAAAGAAGCACAGAATGAAGCAAGCCGACCGCCATTGCTTACGAAGATGGCGGATGTAATAATTCCCGCCTCATTCTGATTGGTTGCTAAGCTGAAGGGCACATTTACGAAATTGAGTTGCGTTTAATTGCAGCCCAACTGAAACATAAACAACTGTAAGCAACAGCCCATAATATTTGGAAATTCACGTTAACTGATGCATGTCGCTGTGTATGACAACGTTAGTTCGATATTAAAGTCATCCATAGATGATTCTTCCAATCGGTCTTGATATGTTTCTTATTCGTAATGCATTATTCAAGCACACTTAATGAGGCCATATATTCTTATCCATTCAAGTACTGAAGCTCTCGATATTATTAGCAGTATCGTCAGGAATGTAGTAAACCTGGTCATGTTCCTTAACTATCCATATAACTCAAGACAGAATTCCAAATGAATTCTGACTTCGCATACGATGACCACTAATTGAAATAGCTGTATAAAAACCAGTACCTCAACTTCATATCCATTAGTCTTTAATGCACTATACCTTCGATCCAGTCTACGAATTAGATCTTGATGACAGTTGACTTTGCCATGAGACATGAACGGCATCTAAACACCATTTCGAAATCCCATAATGCTTGTGCCATTGGAGACTCTTTGATAATCACAGTGTCGAAGGTCAGTTATCTTGGTGTTACATTTTCCTCTGATCTCTCTTGGTCTTCCCACGTTTTATTGTTATCGAAGAAGGTTTTCTGTCTGACTTACTACATAAGGAGGTTGCATGCTCTTGAGATTACTCGTCATTTACTCTTACAATTTGTCAATTCTTGCATATTACATATTATTCCTTGCTGTTCTCCATTATTCTTTCCCGGCTTTTGAGAAAAGAATTTGCTGTATTGCGGAGAGTGCTGAAGGCAGTTAGCAAGGTGTGTGGTGAATCTTAATAATTAACATGGTTGTGGATAGACATCTAAAGTCATGCAAACTCCTAGCAGGTGTTATTTTATTAGATACTAACCATTCCCTTCACTCTTATCTTTCGCCTTGTACATCTTATGGTAGAACGAGACGTGATTACATTAAAATCCATGCATACAGGCGAAAGTATAAAAGTCTCACAATACCTTACCTAACAAATATACTCTTTGACGAACAGGTTGTTAGAGTTAACATAGTCAATAGCCTGCATTCATAACATGTCTCTAATTTGAAAAGTTTTAGTTTCCGATTTTTTCACTTTTTACCCTCCTTTTTGCTGTTTTATTTTTCTTTCGTAAAAGAAAATTGTTGAAATACCTTGTGCCAAGAATTCTATGTTGTACCAAAATATAACATTGAATAAAGCCGTTAATAATAACATCGTGCATAATTATGTTCAAATACATGAAGCTTTCAACTTTCATCTAGGCCGATATCATCCTACCTATATCTCGACAGTATTTATCACCATAAAACTCTCACTGGAACTTCAGACGAGACTCTTTAACAGATATAAGTAACACACCAGACGTGAAGTACACAAATCTAGCTGTATTGAGAGACTACATACTGTTTTCAGGTAAATATGAAACCTTGCAGTCACAGTCGTATCAGATGTAAGGCCGGAGGAAAATTACTTGGTCTTAACTAAATCATCCGGTAGTACGATCACCGAATATCGAACGGTTTGCCGACCCTCCTTAAGGTCAAAGAACAATAAACACGCATTAATCGATTGCAAGTCATGAACCAGACCATGCAGCAGTGCTCACAGCGTTTCCTGTACATATTCTCACCAATATAATAATATTGACTTGTTCTCAAATAACAGTCTGTTATATGAGGCATCCCAGTTTACAGGCAAGATCAAAGTGTTACGAAAGATACATGCTTCAATGTAGTGGGTTACTCAGTTATATTATTATTCTATAAGGTACATTGGTCATAGAATTATGGAAAATAACATTTCTTACATATGAATGATATTAGTAAAACTCGTATTGTCAATATGTCAGTTTGAGCGATTTACGGAGGTTACATTGCGACGTGCAACTGACGGTCGGGAATAAATTCACGTAAAGTTGAAAGCTTCTCGAAACTTCAGCCTAATATCGTTCTGGAACATTTTAGACAACAATGATGACTTAGGACAAATCTACCCATCCCACATGTGTTCTCGGTGGAATATCTCGAGAGAGCTGAAAATGAGGGTAAGAAATAGGAAGGATGAGAAGCAGAACAGACAATGTTCATGCCTACTGAAGTTGAGTCATTTGTGGTGGAATAGCTAAGATATGACTTTTTGGTCTAATTCTCTTTCACTAAGGTACTTTTTAAGCAATAGCATTCTAAAAGGTATGAATGGACGAAGAACTGTATAAATGGAGGTGGTTCAGAAAGTAGCTGAAAGCTTAGAATTATGTGTAGTTTAAAATATATAGTACTGAAAACAGTTTCTTGATACACAAATAACTATCACTCTTTTTGTCAAAGCTATTTCAGTTCGTTTTTATTTTTTATGGTCAAAAGCCGACTACGCTTTTAGCGAATTGCTTAGCATTGCTTCTAATAGGATCACACAGTAGGAAGTAGAATGAGTTCAACGTCACAACACACTATTTAAAGAAGTATTTCGCATATTAAATTATCACCAATAGCATTGGTTTGTGACATCCCACTTGACCATAATGAGCCATATTTAAACAAATGTTCTGCTCTGCAGATAGGCTGCAATTAAACGCAACTCAATTTCGTAAATGTGCCCTCCAGCTTAGCAACCAATCAGAATGAGGCGGGAATTATTACATCCGCCATCTTCGTAAGCAATGGCGGTCGGCTTTCATCGTTCTGTGCTTCTTTCAGCTATTTCTTTTGTGTAGCTACGGAATTTGATGTTTCAGTGTGCTAAAATTCAAAAGTTAGTGTAATACTCTGAACGTTGGAGCAAAGTTTTTCCTGATTTTGCTTTGTTTTCTGGGTTTTATCTGCTGCTAATGAAGTCACTGTATTTATTCAGCTAAGCTGGCTAGTACTAACATAAGACCTTACGTTTTCAAACGACAATCGGTTATGTTTTATCTTGTTTTCTAGATATCCGAAGTCGAAGTTCGTTTTTATTTAGCTAAAATAATTGTTGCTGCCGCCTGTGACTCTAACTGTTCGCATGTTCGTTCCTAACTATCCTTTATGATGTTATCGGCAAAATGAAAGGAAACAATCTGCGTTTTTTAATTTTCTTCAGTATTATGGACAACACTTCCACCAACGAGTCAAACTAATACAGAGTGCCCAGCAGTAGGGTATATCGGTACTGATTTCGAAAGGACAAAGACTTCCGACAACTATAGATGAAGTCACAGATGCTACCAATCTATTGCAGAGGGTTTGTTATGAAAAATATGCCATATAACAGTAATAGAGGGGTTGTACTCACTACTCAGTGCGTTAAAGCAAGCTTAACATTGAAAAGCCGGAAATCTGCTACCAGTGTCTAGTGTATGTTTGCTGTTTTGGCCATAAAAGGTAACCGAAGGGTCATGATCAGTGAGTAAAAAGGTAATTAACTGTTATTAAGCTCACTTTCTTATAGATCATATTTCACCACTCGCAAATATGCGTTTTCTTACGGTATGATGTCAACTGGTACCTAATATGTTCACCCTTACTATTACTTGCGCAATGCATAACATGGGCTTAGTACCGTATTGCAATGTTTTTATTATTTTGCTCCCATTTAAGTATTCCCATGCATCTGTGTCTAGTTTAACAGGACAACATACAAGCAGAGTAAGTGTCTGATAAACTAAAAGTCCCAGTTGTCAAAAAGATTCTTAACCTTTGTCCACAGCCAGCTGCATTTAATTGAGACACAGAACACTCATCTTCTAAGACTGTATACTGCTGTTTTGCGGGCAACTAAAAGCTCAGACACTTAGCTATCTTGCTACCGATGTTATTGATAGGGAAATTGTTTAATGACAGTGATCATGAAATATGGTCAGTGATAGATGTATAGTTTAGAAATAAACACCAAACATACTTATCGCTATCTTATAATGTATGATATCATACATGCTATATAGCAACAGCATCAAAGGCACGTTTTTTCCTATTTTTAATCAGGCTGATCTGAATCCGTATACACATTGGAAACAGGCAACTCTATACTTACTAAACTGATCTGTTTCGTTACAGGCTTCAAGCACTATACTTAAGTATATCATAATTCTTTCAACTAAACTGAATTATACGACAACCAAGAACACTAAACTAAGCAAGTGTCATAGTTATTGTTTCACTTGCAAAGACATGTTGCTCATAGTAGGTAAATGGACATAATTAAGCCGATAAAATCAAAACACGAAATATAGGCCAGTTGAACTTACCTAAGAAAAAAAGAAGGATACATATATACTGCTTTAAAGCAGTATTCAGTATGAATTCATACTGAAGACAACAGGAAGTTGATCATAGAAACACAGTTTACAGTACAACAAACCTTTCTTCAGTAAAATCATGCACTGACAGTCTATCTGGAAACAATCAACTATGTGAATAAAATCACCATGACTTGAGATATCATTTCAGCGTGCAATGGACGTACAGTGTAACGCAGTCGGACGTGGCGAATAAAAATTAAAAACAGAGAAAAATTAACTACATAATCTAGTTATGTAATTAAAAATACATTATGAAATGACAAAATATGTGGTTACTTGAACGCACAAATGACAGTGTGCGATACATTAAGTTTACATTGGTTGCGTTGCGGATAAGATCACCCCTGTAGATATGGGTGAATTGAAGTTATCTCGCCACCATCTCTCCATTTGTGATGTTAGGCTCTCTTACGTTTGTGGTGTGCACGAATATTGCTTTAAGATAAGCCCCTTACTGGAATATACAGTCTCTACTAGTTCCATGTTACAAGCAAAACAGAAAACTAAAGCTTGTGTATTATGGGTGAGACATCTATTTGGTATATCACACTGCTATGAAGATAACTAGTGGTGTGGTGCGTGCTACTTATATTGATATAAGTAGTATATTATGCGGGTCAGGAACGTAATGTCTGGCAGCAGAAGATGAGGGAAGATCAAGAAAGCAAGAGCGGGAATAGAATGCAATTTGTATGAAAATGTAAGAACAATGAAGTCTGAGGCGTTTTGAGACAATTGGTGGACATTTTGCAAATTAATGATTTGATACATAGTTCTCAGATTTTATTGAGATGCTCTGTAATTTTGTGTCAAATACATTCGGTTTTCCCCACCCGTGTTCCGTTCACTATAGTGGTACAAGTTTAGATGGTAAGTACATATAGGAAATCAAAGCATAGCCAAGAGTTTAGGATTGCAAATTTACAGAGCAAGAAACTAATTTTTTATTTTTGTTACTCATTTGGCGATACATGCATAAGCGTTTATTCTTGATCTGTGTTCATAGAGACGCTCATTAAAGTGCTGACATATTTCTGTTTCCTTATTTTCCCCCTTTCCTTCCCTAAGGTCAACTCAATATTCTTCTTAATTACACAGAACCTGATTTATTATTATTCCATTATTATTATCGTAGTATTATCATTTTTTCTCCTTTCTTCACTTCCTTTTTCAAATATGGAAAATGCCAACATTATTGAAACTTATATATTAATACATTTCTGAAGAAACTCCAAGTGGTTTGTTCACAACACCTGCGTGCCCAAAGGATAATCGAAAATTAATAATTCTAGTGCGGTTATTATGGTTCCAGTAATATAGCCAGACGTAGAATATAATGGGAATGTGGCGGTAGTCTACAAATGCAGATGATTGATATTTCAGAGTTGAGCTATCATAACCACAGACAATGGAGAACGAGAGACGTGTGTATAGTAGTGTATTCACGAGCAGTTAACAGCGTGTGTCGTGCCATGAGTAATTCAAAAGGTAAGAGAGTTGGTTCAAGGTCATGCACAAGCATTTTGTAGTAAATGTATAAACTGTGAAAATTAACAAAACAAACGCAGATAATATCAAAAACTATTTAAAAAATAAGTTTGTTGTACCTATCTCCACAAAGCTCACCCTAGACTCACAAAACGATTTGGATCAGTTGGTACTGTGGTGTCTGGGTCTACTAGTTGACCTGGTAGTGCTAGGGTTGTGCCGTAAACTAGTTTGGCAGATGTGCAATCTACATCTTCCTTGATAGTTAGACGGGTTCCCAGCAGTACGAGTGGTGATGGGTCGCTCCGCTTCGATGTATCAGCTTGTGCCATCAAAGAGCTTTTCAATTGGCGTTGAAATCTTTCGACCAGACCATTAGCTACTGGATAACAAGCTGTCGTTTTGATGTGGTTCACTCCCAGAAGTTTGGTAAAATCCTGGAACAGGACGGGTTGAAACTTGGGACCAAGGTCTGTAGTAACAATTGAGTATACTCCGTAATTTCATATCCGTAGATCAAGTTAGACTTTTCTTTGCAGGTTTTCAGGTCTGCATCGTCTATTTGTAGCTTCGTTATAGTTTCGAGACTAGTGGCTTGTTTGATGTCTTTTTAAGATAAGGCGTCTGCGACGATGTCGGAATGTTCTTTGATGAAGTGGATATCTGTAGTGAATTGTTGGATGTAATTTAGTTGTCTTATTTCGCTTGGTGAATGTTGTACGATGTGTTGAGTGAATAGCATAAAGGTTTATGGTCAGTCATTATAGTGAAATCGCGTCCTTGTAATTGAAAGTTGAATTGCTTCGCTCATAAATAATCAACTATTAGTTCTCGTCCGAAAGTGCTGTGACGTTCCTGTGCCGGCGACATTCGTTCGGAGAAAAACGCTATAGGTGTAATTATTTGATTGACCCCTTATTGCAGTACTACTCCTACAGCCTTATGAGATGCGTCAGTGAAGGGAGTTGGGTGAGTTGTGGGGGTCAATGCTTAGGTGTTATAACATCGTAGCGTTGGATATAATGGATTTTGCTTTACTGAAGGCAGTTTTGGCGTCAGAAGGTAACGTGAAGAGGTCGTCCTCCTTTGGCTTGGTTTCTTTTTTATCCAGCTTCGGTAAATGCGTTAAGCGTTGTAGTGTGTCTGCACAATTAGGTAGAAAGTGTCAGTAAAAGTGCTCATCTCGAGGAATCGACGTAGTGATTTTACCGAATTCGGCTCAGGGTAGTTGATGATAGCCTCCACTTTATTTTGTGGTGATATAACTCCCTGAGAGTCGATGTAATATCCCAGACTTTTTGAGCAAATAATACCTACATCGTGCATTGATCCGATTGTTTGAACTCTACTTTTGTTTAGGTAAAGTTGTAATTCATAAGGATGTTTTCCAAAATGCATAATCCCACACTTGTTAAGGTTAAATGGTAATTGCCATTTTTTGCTCCAGATAGTTAAGTTATTGAGGGCACTTTGAATCTTGGACACACTTCCACGTAGAGCTTAAAGCTGTAGTAACCTTGTGTTGTACGGTCATCAAAGTGGCCATAGTACATGGGTACGATGAAAGGACAATCCACGTTTGGTATTAACCATGGGGCTTCTCATATTCCGCAAACATGTTCCCTGTTTCAAGCCAGCTTCTGGCCCTAGCTTTATTAGATTCCATACCAATCGTCTTTATATGAATCCTCATCCTTAAACATTAAGTCAACTGAACACCCGTACGTCGTGCTTACCACCAAGATTATAACTCACTAATCTGAAGCGAACCTCATTTCGGACTTCTTTGACAATAACCACACACTTGATACAGCTCGTATTGGGAGATGCCTAAACATAGTTGTCCTTACGTTGCACTACATGCCTGCTCACAATCTTATGACTAATTTCTACAGCCTTACGTATCGTCAAACTTTCTCGATCCTCATACCTCCCTTACTCTCCTAAATTATACCATAAATTCATTTTAACTACAACCCAAGTAAAGATAAACTTAGTGAACTTAGGCACTGATATGGTTGAAATAAAAGTCAATTTTAATTGACTTACTAATTATGAGTTCTGTTCAACATTACTTCCGTTTTGATTCAGTGTAATGATTACTCAGTGCAGTATTTGTTTTGTCTTCTGGTATGATATTTTATTCTGTATAATATACGATATTCTTGTATTCAATTG